CCCCAAAACCCCAAAACCCCAAAACCCCAAACCCCCTCCCAAAATCTATACACTTTTAAACTTCGCCCAAAACTTCAAACCCTAAAACCTCAATTCCAAACACCAAAAAAATGTCAGACCCTGATTCATCATACAACCTACGTTCAGAAGAGAAAGAGCAAAGTCTTCTCTCTGAACTAGGCCAAGGCCTAGTTCAGGAAGAAGAGTCTGCTGATGAAGCTGAAGGAGAGGAACAGGAAGAGGCGGATAGTGAGGAAAGGGAAAGTGAGGTCAGCGATACAGATGTGTTCAAGATCTTTATATCTACTGATAACCATCTTGGATACAAGGAAGGTGACCCGATAAGAGAAGACGACTCCTTTGAAGCCTTTGATGAAGTGTTACAAAAGTAAGCTATTTGAATTATCCTATAGGGCATCAAATGATGAAACTATTGACTTCTTGCTACTTGGAGGAGATTTGTTCCATGAGAAGAAGCCTTCAAGGAATACATTGTAAGTGAGGATTTTTATCAGTATAGTTTAAAAACTTTCAAGATGCTTAACAGTTATGTTATGGGTGATCAAGATATCCGCTTTAAAACTAAGAATTTTCAAGCTAATTACATGGATCCTTCTATCAGTATCAAGCTACCTATCTTTATCATTCATGGTAACCATGATGATCCTTGTGGACTTGAGCATCAATCTAATATTGACATGATCTGCACAAATAAATTGGTGAATTATTTTGGAAAAGTCAGAAACATTGAAGAAATTGTGGTGGAACCCATCCTATTAACTAAAGGGCAAACTAAAATAGCTTTATATGGTATTGGCCATATGAAAGATGAGAGACTCAATATTGCCTTTGAGAAAAAGAAGATTACTTTTAGGAGACCAAAAAATGATCCTGAATCATGGTTCAATATCCTTGTACTCCATCAGAATCGGTATAAAGGAGATCATGTCGGAGTTAGTCGGAGAGAAAGTATAGCTGAAGATACTATCCCAGGATTCATCAACTTCGTACTCTGGGCTCATGAGCATGAATGCATCCCCACTCCATACAAGTGAGACAGCACAGGTGTGTATTTCCTCCAAGCTGGAAGCACAGTTCAAACTTCATTGATTGAAGCTGAATCAAAACCAAAGATGGGTTTTGTTCTTCAAGTATTTAAAACTGCTTTTCAGCTAAATAACATTCCATTAGAGACTGTCAGACCTCTAGTGTATCAGCACATTGAAATGAGCGATAGTAACATTGACAGCAAAGACAAGCAGAAAATAGAGAATTATTTATGAGGAATCCTTAATAAAATGATCGAGAAAGCAAACATTTTATACAAGAATAGGCCTCAAAGAGTATCATTACCTCTGATAATGCTCAAGGTAGAGTGCACAGGATATGATTTGATCCATTCAAGAAAAATAGCTCATCATTTTCAAGGAAAGATTGCTAATGTCACTAGATTCATACTTCCCCATAAACGTATCCTTGCAGGAAATTCTAGAGCTGACAAGATCATTGCTGAAGCAGCTTTTAACAAAGCCATGGGGCTAAAAGCAGGTACATCTGTTCTAGAAGAGCTTGATAGGCTTAATAAAAGCGACAATCCTCAGTTTGACGGAGATACCAATGAAAGAATGCTACATGATTTGGTAAATTTATTTTACCTAATCATTCTAGATTTATGACTCCTTCACTAAAAAGAAGATGCTACATATTGTTCCAAGAGACTCCTTCATCCAAGAGTTAGAGAACTATGTCAACTCAAATGACAATAACTCTCTCAGAGATTATTTCACAGTGCAGGTGTATAAAGAAGCACACACTGCTTTGATGACCATTCTGAAAAGAAATAATGGAGTCTTATGCAATGAAGATGACCCTGGATTTGCCAGAATGGATGAAAAGATCCTTGAAATAGCGAGAAACCACCTAAAACTAAGAGATATTGAGCTAAGCGGAAGCTATTTCACCCCAAAGAAAAAGTTTAAGACCGAGGAAGAGATTATTGAAGACGCCGATAATTTGCAGACTAATATTGATAATAAAGTCAATGAGAAGAAAGCCAGAGAAAGAAAAGCGAAATATGACATTCTTAATAACACTGACATGGAGACTCCGATTCAAAAAGATGACCTCAAATATGGCCCTATTGATTTTGAGAAACACCAAGACTCTGAAGAAGAGGATCTAAAACAAAGAAGAGATCAGTTACTTGGTGGAGGAGTTAACAAACGTAAGAGATCTAATAAGCGCAACTTTAAAAGAGAAATAGACGAAAATGACATCACCAAGAATCTTCCAAATACAGCATCAAAATTCAGAGCAAAACCAGGCCATGGTCAAAAATCCCAAAAATCTCAAAAAGAAAGAATATCTCGATTCCAAAAAGACACAAAACATCGACACCAAAAGACAAAGACAAAAGAGTCAGACTTCGCATCCAAAACCATAAAAAACAGAGAAAAGAACAAAGAAATCGAGGTTGAAGAAATCATTGACTAATTCCTAAAAAATTCCAAAAATCTTAAAATTTTCAATAAATTGTCTTTAAAATGGGGTTTTGGGGTTTTGGGGTTTTGGGGTTTTGGGGTTTTGGGGTTTTGGGGTTTTGGGG